TAAATCGAAATCTTTGATTATCGCATAAATCGATAAGGCGTAAAGGGAGATATGAAATTATTGCAAAATCATTATGCCCTAATGGCATTTATTAGCTTTCCATTTGTACGAAGAAAAATAAATTAAACGAAATAAAACGAACGAATCAGATTATCGCCAATTGGCAATTAATTGACCAAGTGGGCATTTAATACGGCTACGTTTGACCAATAAGGCGGACAAACGCATGAAACTCTAAATAAATATCGATTGCCAATGTATTATTAATAGTGGTGGGCAAAGCATAAACAGAATTAACTATTTTAAACAAAGCGGCTATGACAAGGTCATTTACAAATTATCACACGGGTTGATTACGCTTACTAAAGTCGAGATTTCGTACTAACGCATCAAAAAGCACCAAAGGCAATTAAATATTAATTCAACAAACAGCGATAATTATTTATCCTGAAAAGGTTCGCTCTTGCTTATTTATGCGATAACTACTAGAACGCCACTACAAGTCGGCATGAACATTGCGAATAAACAATCCGTACATGCGATGGCTCGGTGAAACGCTGCAATATTTTTTTTCAAGTATATTTAAGTCAACGATAGATTTTGTGTTTGTGTTTTTCTGTTTTTGTCTGTTTGTGTTTGCGTGCGTGCTTGTGCGCGCGCGTATAATATGGATAAAAGCACTTTTCGCCATGTTGAGTCATTGCGCTATTGATTTGGGTGGTACTATTATTATTATTATTATTATTATTATTATTATTATTATTATTATTATTATTTATTATTTATTTATTATTATTATTTATTATTATTATTATAATAGATATCTCATTGTAAGCATTTGCCGCTTGATCGCAATTCAAATCATCGCATGATAAAAATAAAAATATTTGTAAAAAAGATAAAAAGAAAAAGGGAAGAAAAGAGGAAAATTCACGACATTTACCTTGACCTGGGCAGGAACATGGATCCGTCGATGAAGACTGAGCCCGAGAGCAAAATGTACCAACTCGTTGCCAGTTCACCGGTGCTGTAAATAATAAATTTCATTGTAAATAATAACTTTCATGGTAACGAGGCGCTGCATTATAAATTTGGCTATTCAAACTGATAAGGATTTTCAACGATAGACATTACTGTAACTCAACTACAGTAACATATTTAATAACCATTATTCATCCTGTTATCCTGACAAAATATTGTAAATGTAACGACATTACGTTCATTAAGCTCACATTGTATATTACGTATTGTCACGTAGGGTTAAAAGCCATTACATACACATACACTCGGCATATTATAAAGACGACTCTCGGTTATTGAAATTGATACGAAAAAAATCAAGTTCACGTAGTGGCCTACGTAACGTTCTAGCGCAATTATGTATGCACATAAACGTAATTCGTTGGTACGTCGACGAAAATCGGAAATATTCACAGCCAATTCTACAACAAAGTTCCATTTGCCCGAGGCACCTTTCTATTTTTAAGGACCGTTCCCAACTATCCACACTTGCAAATATCCTCACTATATCCCTCGACTCCATTGATTTCCCCCTCGTTGAATCACGCTTGTCACATAACTTGCCCAACCACAAGCGCGATTCTCTTAAATTTCTCCAAATGTGAAAGTGAGACAAGCTCTAGGTTAACGGCCAAATTTTTTACATATCCTCGGAGAAAGAGGCATGCCCCCACATAATAGAGAATTCGATCGTGAAAAAGAGGCGCGGGAGAGGGCCGCGATACAATTGCCGAGAGCCGATGGCCGGCAATAATCAAAAGTTCAGGCTCTCGTCGTTCGGAGAAAGTCGTGAAATTCGTTGGATACGCGCACGGGACATACGATAAAGCATCGTCTCCTAAACCACATCCTTGATGCATCCGGCGAGCGATCGGTCAAACCCGGACTCTTACACGGGCCTCTCCTTATCGGCCGCCTCGGCCACGTCGTCGAGCGCTTCAACCTCCCAACCGCGCAATGTCGCCTCATCTCTAGCCCGTCATCGGGAAATCTTACCGCTCGCGGCGGACATTGTCCTCTCCGAAAATATGACAACACTGGACGGGCATTCCGCGGGACTCTCGGTGCCCCCCCCCTCCCATCACCCAATCCCCCGGGCCCTTACCGCACCCGTCCCACACGGTAAATCATGCCGCTCCGCGCGGCGCGCGTGCACAATGCGCGCTGCATTCCGCTTTTCCAACTAATGACGGTCTAGCTGGTGGGGGAGGGGACTTCGCGATCCGTTATGTACGCGCGACGGTGGGCAACGGCGACGACCGGAAGCCCCGGCTCTTTCTTGTTGTATTATAAAGAACGGCCCAGCGGCCTAACTCCGACCATATAAAGATGATTCCGATGGTTCCGAGAAGTTCCGGGACGAAGAGAGCCGAGCGAACGGCCAAGTCGCCTTTCAGAAATGTCCATTCAAGGTGGCGAGACACCTATCTCGGGAACCTCCTTTTCAGGAATTTTCCGAGTCTGCGACACATCCCGGACGAATGGGCGCTTCAACCGAGTCGATGCGCTACTCCGTATCTCGACGGTCGGTAAGTCGGATGTCGGAGTTTAATAGTTTGAGATTTTCAGCTGGGAGTACTGGAAATTCCTGTATTAATTTGATTATCACGCGTGAAAGTAATGCAAATTATCTGTATAAGCTCAAGGATAAGGTTGGAGCGCGTGTGATCAAATGAGCTCGGATATCGAGTATTGGTATGTGAGAAGTGAAAGCAACGATATCGCACGGCGGTGCGACGATTGCCGACTTATCGACGGAACGACACACAACCGAAATATCGGTAATACAGTTTCCTAAATTTCTTATTTAAATGATGTTGGCGGAAGCTGGCGGGCGGCTTTATAGGTGAATTATAAGAACGGGGGGAGGCGCCACTCATGCTTTCCAGTGTATTCCCGGTACTGAGTTCTCGCATAACACGTGGTTATGGTGGTGGTGATGGTGGTTCTGATGGCGGTGGTGATGGCGGTGGTGATGGCGGTGACGGCAACGGTGGTCGCCGTCGTCCAAGGTCGTATCTATCTTTGATCTAACATTGATTATAAAATCAGCCAGCCCGTGTCAATTGATAAGATTTTTACGAAAATAATGCAATTGTCGGCACATTTTTCCGCGCAAATCAACTTTAGTTATTCTTAGTGTGTGTGTGTGTGTGTGTGTGTGTGTGTGTGTGTTGCGTGTCGATGTTGATTTTAAGACGAGATAAGAAGAGAATATATTATTTATCGATAGCATGGGAGAATTTATGTGTGCGATTGCTCGACATGACATTGAAGAAAAAATTATGATTAATTTTCATTTACCATATGTATCCGTTTAATGATACGTGTCTCATTATGAGTTAAAAAGAAATGTTGATAATCAGCACGTGTGCAGTACTGGTTTCTCTTGTTTCTGTTTTTCCTTTTTATTCTTGTTGTAATTAATAGTGAAACTAATCTCTCTGAAATTTTCAATATTTAATGTGGCGACCAATCGATCGATAACAAAAGAAACAAAGGCTCGGAAATTTTTATATAATCATCGGCTGTTTCTTAGACGGTTAGGCAGGAGTTTTTGAATCCGATACTAAAATGTTTAAATTTTTAATTTATCCTGTTTTTAATGTACTCGCAAAAAGCCAGATACAGAGTCTGTAGGCGAAATGACAAGGAAATCAATATTGATGAATCCATTAAGGTCTCTTGGTGTCTCTCTCTCTCTCTCTCTCTCTCTCTCTCTCTCTCTCTCTCTTATTACAATTTATTATTGATGTAATACAAGGAGCCGGAGACATAAGGTAATTGTAATGCTTAAAAATAGCTTCGCTCCCCTTTTTCTTACTGATATATGCAATTTTTATATCATTGCTATGTGCCAAGTGAAAAGCGGATCCCGCGACGCATATGACGTTTTTCTGATCGGTGATGACAGGATCCGTTACACAAGCCACTGCAATCGCGCCTGCCATGGGAACATTTATTTAAAGAGCAAAATATCATAATGTCAGTCTCTTTTGTACCCGTGTGTGCGTGCGTGTGTGGGAGAAGAGTTTCTACAGCAGAGTTAACTCTCTCCGTCCACTTGACTTAAGACATTTACATTTTTTCTCGGCTTTTTAGCCACTTTTATTTATAATAATGAGTTCGATCCGGACTTGCGCCATTCTTCCCATGCATTACTTTTACTTTCGGATCATTTTTCCTTAAGTTGCAATATTTCTTCTTTGTTTTCATCGCATAGTACACGTTGTATGTAATACCACATTATACGAGTATCAATCAAATATTTTGATACTTCACATAAGCAACGGCTATATTTATAGTTCAAACTTTCATTAATAGTAATTCATTAATAAGAAGAATGAAATAATAAAAAAGATTAATAATAATAATAATAATACTCATTTGATTGAAATAAGCATGCAATTCATCTTTATTCGTTCTAATGTTATAATATTTTCAAATGCCAAAGGACTTATTTCCGGTAATTACGCCCAATGTCAATTTCGTATTTCATATTTCATATTCCATGTTCCGAGTGTCGTTATCGCATTAAAAAAATTATTGAAATTTTATCGAACATCTATTATTAAAAATTAATCATACATCTTGCCTGCGCTATTACTTGCACTTTCTCTGAGCTGTAAAAAAAAAAGAAAAAAAAAACGCGATTTATTGGCATACTGTCGACGTACCCATCAATGTGCAAAAGCGGACACACGAGCGTAATCTCGCGATTTTGAACTGTCCAATCTTGTATTGCGTCAACATTCTGCATATTCAATCTGTCGATTCTTCCCAAAAACCTTCGGAATCTCAATTGAAAAACGACCAATTTGTAAACGCAACGGACCATGCACACATCACGAATACTTACAAGCACGCCGGCAAATAACACATAATAGCATACATAATAGAACTAATAAAACAGAGAGAGAGAGAGAGAGAGAGAGAGAGAGAGAGAGAGAGCAATATTTAGTATCTAGATAGTATACTTACTAGTAAAGGACGTGATTCGCGTGATGTCTCTCATAGCGAACGGTTTTGCACAGTCCGCGCAACACCGAATCCCGACAGGGACGCAGCGCCTCCAGCCCGAGGAGTCCATAATAAATGAATTGGAGATCCTGAAACAGTGGAGAAGAGTCGTTACAGTAAAATTTAAGACGATGTCGCGGAAATGAGAGCTCTAAAGCTTTCTTAATAGACCGAGCGCTCGACTTGTTCTTACGGCTATCCGATTTATCAGTAGCGGACGGGGGCTTTGACTTTTAAATGGCGACTATGGTGCACTTGGCTCTAGGAAGCGTCGCGCATAATTTTTCTCCATATTCGCCTAAGTTGCTTGAATGATAAATCGAAGCGTGATTGCTTGGCGGCTGTCATTGCGTCGGATAATCATTCCATTTCATTACGATATATCGGGCACAATGTGACGTATGATTATGATCATTTATCCACTCGTTAACACAACCTTCCCTGTGTATCGTCCGATCTATCAGGCCTCGCCGCTTTAGCCCCTCGATTACGGTGTATACGGCTAAGTCAGACCGC